AAATTATATAGTTAACAGTTATTATTAATTTAAGTTCAAATTTCTTTGATAAGTGCAAAGTTTTTACTAGAATAATATGTAAGTTAAGTATTAGCTATCATTCTAGATTGTTTTTTGTATTTTATTTAATTTTATACTTAGAAATAATTATAGTATTAGTACTAAAAACTGGTTTTTATTAGTCTTCTTTATTGCTAGCAAAGAGAGAATGGTCTTTTTTATCAGATGATAAATATTAACATCAGTTTTATAATTAATACTTCAGTAGAAACTCAAAATTTCATAAATGTTTTGAGAAAGAACCCTGAATAAATATTTATGGCAGTCTGGAAGAACAAAATGTTTAATGTATTTAAACATTGACTTTAAATTTAAATTATTATAATAATCGTACAAATATGAGGTACATATTATTGCTAAAACTGATTAAATCTAGTACCTAAAAAAAAAATAAACAATAAACCCAGGACACACTCTCTTTGCTGTGGGAATCCCTTTCTTAATACCTTAATTAAATTCTGGTGATTCCCCCGGAAATCTAAGCACACTCATACATTTTGGCATTTATAACAATTGTCCAAATTATGGCTAATTAAATATGATTTAGCCTGGCTAATGCAAACGTAATGTCTCTCTCTCTCTCCCCCTTTGGCTGAGCTGTCAATATTTGTCAGGAAGCGGACGATAAAGCGGCCATGTCCTTACGCTCTCTCTACACAGACAGAGACGTGTCTCTGGTCCTGGTCCTGGTCCTGGCCCTGACCCCTGACATTAGACCCGTACATGAAACTGGCCTCGGGCCACAAAATTTGTTTATAATTCAAATACTAGAAAAAAAAGAACAAAAAAAATACATGGTCGTACTATGCAACAGCAGAAATTGTACAAAAAACTATACAAAAAAATGGACAAGGCAAAGAAAACACGTTAAGCAAACACGATAACGATACTATATAGATATGATGATGAGAAGGGAGTTAGGAGCAAGGACAACAAGGACGACACCCAGCCGAAAACACAAGCAGGCAAATTTATTTCAATTTAAAAATTTTGGTCACGCTCAAACAGAAAAAGCGAGGCGAGTTAAGCGAGTGGGCGGTAGGTGGCGTCCGTGGTAGTGGCTGGCGACAAAAACTTTGTGGATTCGTAGGAACTCGGGGGCAACTCTGCCATTTGTATAATTGCTGTCGTGATGGAGGAGCAGAACAGCAAACAGTGTTCCGCTGAAAGTCCTGTCTTCTCCTTCTCTGAAACCCCCTCTCGAAGACGAACAGCTTATGCCATGACACGCTCCAAGGACGCTTGACAGCAAATGGATAAGGACATTATCATCTGGGGACAGGGGCAGGAAGACAGAATTTCATGAGGAAAAAAATATGAAAAAAAGGCGGCACAATATGAAGGCGAGGCTGGGATGTTATTGAAAATTGAGATGAGCATTGGCAGTTAGAAAAGCCAGAAGGTTTTATGGTAGAGTAAAAGGTTTATTGAATGGGAAAATTCATTTTCTAGGTTAAATTTAAACAAATAAATTTCTAATAATTAAATTCTGTATAAATAAAATTAAGTGATACATAATTATAAAATTATTGAATGAAAAAATGAATTTTCTTGTTATAGTTAATGCATTTCAAGTACATCAATTTAAATTAAAGATAATTGCATTTTCAATCAATGAAAAACTTAATTTTCAAGCTACATTTTAGGCCTTTAAATTATAATACTTTATGTTATATATAATATACTTACTTAAATCATCTATTGAAGTAATTTTAAAAATATTTTAATACCTTCAAGGCAATACTTTCAAGACTTTTAGAAACATTAATATATTTAATACTTGTTAAAACTACGTTTTCTACTGGTTCTTAGATAGACAAAGAACCTGTTGAAACCTTCTTTCGTTTTCTTAAAAATTTTGGGATATTACCTATTACCTGCATAAAACTTGAAACTTAATATATAATGTTAAAACTAGGACAAAGAACCTCTTGAAGACGCCTTTCTTTTTGTTAACTATTTCAGATATTTATGTCTTCCAAAAATAATAATAATCATTTTAATACGTAGAATAACTTTATACTTGTCGTATAAATGTCAGAGAAATATTTAAGTTTATTTTTTAAACTCATAAAACTTGAAGTATATATAAAACACCCAACAACCTCCTCTTGAATCCGACTTCAAAAACCTAGTAATCTTAAAGAAACAATCTGGTAATTAATTTAAAAAAAAAACCCATTAATCACAGGTGGCATTCGCTAACCTTATTTCATGTAACATTCTAGTAACTATTTTTGTAACCCAAAAAATATATCGCCTCACGTTGCCATCTGAACCAGAATATTTATGCAGAAAAGCAACCAAGTAGCTCCAAGCCGTCACGATTTATGTCTGGGAATTAGTTGATATGCATTTTCGATTCGAAATCGCAGACGGCTGGAGTTGAGTGGCGACAAGGCTGTACTATATAGTATATATACCTTTACCAGACCACCGGACTGTCCGAAGCCTTGACAATGGCAATGAGAGCTCCCGGGGTTGGACTGGACTCGTGTTGACATCGATTGACAAGGTGTGTGGGGTGTGTTTGGGGTGTGTTTGGGGTGTGTGTGGTGCCAAACGAAGGCCACCAACCGCAACAGCAAAAAGCAAAAACTTTTTCCAGGCGAGTCCCCGAGTTCAAGTCTAGGAAATAAGCCAAACACAACAAAAAGAAATGAAATAAAACGTGAATGTCGTTAAGTTGAGGTAACCCACGTGTTGTCCTTCGACCAAACGTTCTGAATATGTGCAACAAGCAATCAGCCAGGTGTGGGTCTGGGAATCAACACAGGTGTGTGATATATATACACAATAGTACTAGTATCGGTAGTATTTACTATATATATATAATGTGTGTGAAAATGTGGCCAGTTTGTTGTGGCTGAGAAACTAAAAGAGCGTTTGAAAAGTGGTCAAAGTGAAAAGGTTTGCCAAACTTTTTGGCATCCTTGAGACAATCAACGAAATTGGTGAGGAAATTATAACACATTTTGATGTTTCAAACAATTTTAAAAGGTTTCTGTGACTTCCTTCATAGTAAAATAAACGAAATTCATAGAAATGTATCTTTAAAATATTTTAAAGCCATGCTAGAAAATATATTTATGCATAAATAAATACCATATTTCACAGTAAAGATTTTAATTTAATTATTTTAGTCCTATATTTTTATACCTTGGAAAGTATTTCAATTTCAGTCAGAAGCTTAAAACGCATCGAAGGAATCATTTCCGACCCTATAAATCATATATTTTCTTGATCAGCACTTAAAGTCGAATCGATTTAGCTATCTAGGGAAAAAAAAAAAATTTTAATTTTTTGTTTAATTTTATCATTAAAATTGAACACAAAAAATGATCAAAATTTTTAATTTTTTTACATTTTAAATTGAGTATGTAGATTTATTACCTCACAAAAACTAACATAGGACAGCTTTCCGAATTGAAATTAATGCTTTTTGGCTGAGTTATGATATTTTGATATTGGAAATCAGAAATCTTTAAAGCCTATTATAACCTTAAAAAGTTGCCCAAAACTTCACAATATAACTTCTTAAAAAACCAATTTATTTTAAATTCTGTATCTTAAAAATGCATGGCATATTTTCGAAATGTTTTCAAATGTTTTAAAAAGTACTTGTTTTTTTTAAAGCGTCTTAGAATATAGTTTAAGTCAAATATATTATTTGAAATCAATAGACATTTTTTAAAACATTATTACGTACTTCTAAACATTTCATAGGAGCTTTAAATATTTTATTAATTTTTAAAATGCCCTGGAATATTTATTTGAGTGAAATTTTTAATTTAAAATCAATGGTTACCCTTAAAAAAAATGTAATTTTCTGATGACCTTTTTAATATAATTTAAATTTTTCGATATATGTTAATTTTCGATATATTCAATGAATAATTATTTTTCCATGTGTGATATATCAACGAAGAACTTAACTTTTTTCTGTAGTTTTATAGGATAAAGTTTAAATGCCATTGAATATAATGAATTATAATTATATCATTAAAGGCTAATCCCGAAACCAACAAACGGCTTTAAATGCTTGCATAAATATTTGCGAAAATAAAATCAAAGCTTAAAATCAAGACTGCTGAGATTTATAAGCCATTAAATAAATCCGAGCTTTATAAATTAAATAAAGTGCCATTGAAATTAAACATTGAACACTAAATTATTATCCTCTAGGGACAGTTACCACTTACCACTTGAGATTGTCAACAACATCCATTAGCCAAGGCAAACTTAATTCAAAGTAACGAATTGAATTGCTCAAACTAATTATTGGACTATGGAAAGGGGAACCAGAGGAGGGAAACTTCGGATTCCAAGCTCGATCCTTGTATGCGTATCCTTATGGCTGGTGGACTGATTTATGCTCGCAGGCGTCGCAAAAGCATTCATTGCCAGGACGAACACCAGTATATATATATATCCTTCAACTTGACCACCATGAATGTTTGTATGGGAAGGAAGGTTCTGTTCTTCATATTGCGGTTTTTGTACAATCTATGGATGTGTGAGTGTGCCTGTGTGTGTGTGTGTGTGTGTAAAATGTCCTTGTCAAACACTAATGGCGTCGTTGCCATTGCCATTGTCCTTGCCTGCGTGTTAATGTGCGACAGTTTCCTGCCAAGCTAAAATCGAATTGAAAAGAAGCATTTAAAAAATCTAAAAAAAACATACCTGTTTGTTTATACGTATTTTTTTACAAGGTGAAGCAATTGAAATATTTTCCGGCATATGTCCGTCTTTCTTTCTTTTCCTTTTTTTATGAAGGAAAATGAATTGAAAGCCAGGACATCTGCGGCACTCGCATGAGGTCTCCAGGGGGAGAGGGGGTCAAGTGTACTCTTCCGATGCATTTGCTCGCAACTCCTTGATTTATATCCTTTCCTCTCCATTTTCTTTATTCTGTTTTTTTTTTTTTTTGTTTTTTGCAGAATTTATGCCTGTGCAGTTTTCCATCGATTTTCGTCTTGCGCCACAACGGACTGGGGATGAAATACCAAACACATAAAACGGATTTGATATTAAAAAAATATGCAGGTAAAAATAATATATATATATAGGATAAAAGGGTGGATTTATTTTTAAATATATTTTAGTGATGGTATACCAATATATATATATAATATATATTTAGCATATTGTATAGATTATAGTTAATTTAAATATTGTATTTGTTCAAATAATATAATCCGTTTATAGGTACCTAAAGCTTTTTTTATTGATCTCTTGAAATTATTATAATTATTTAATTATGTGTTTACTACTCTAAAGCAATTGTTTTATATCACTTGAAGCTTATTTATAATTTATTTTATGAAATATAGATTATAATTAATTTAAATACTGTGTTTACTACTATAAAAAATTGTTTTAAATGCACTTGATGATTTTTAAATGTTATCTTATTAGAAATATATAAAGTTTGGCAACAGTATTCATTGTTAGGGCTTTAAAAAGTATTTAATTGTTTGCCAAACTATAAGGATTAACTTTATTATAGTCTGAAGGGGAGTTATTTTATTCAAACATGTTTTTCTTACACTTTTTTAAATATTTTAAACCTTTTCTAGCTCCAAATAAATACTAATAAAGTTACCTAAGAGCTTGAACTTGGTATATTTATTTGTTTTTGATAGAAATATTTATGAATTTTAATTATAATGTAATTGTTAATTAAACGAGATTTTTTTATAAAAATTTATAGATCACAGATTAAAAGGAAATTGTCATGACGCTTTTTGTTCAGAGTTCCAAATATAAGAAACCTATTTCAAATCATTTATTTAAACAATTTAAAATAAATATGAAAGATATAACCTAAGGGAGATCCTCTAAGACACTTACAATGCCAATTAAAATTTTATATAATTTATTTAATTAACTAAATTTATATGTGTAAAAATACACCTATAGAGCGCTTTATAAACCCTTAAAGCACTCTCTAACACACTTATACTACCATTTCGTTTCAATTCTATCAAAGGACCACCCTAGCAAAAAACACACCGCAGAAACACACCAAAAACACCCAAAAACACACACAACAGAACAATCCTGGCAATATGCTGCAAAGGAAGCCACGAACACCAAATATCGTACTGAAAACCCACCGACAACGTGGCAAACAATGGTTTTCCCATCCACCAACTGCGGCTTATCGCCAAATGCAACATGGCGTTGGCCAAGTCACGTCTCTGCCGCCGCCTCCGAGTCATTGTTGTTATGTAGTTGCCATATTTGTTAACAAAAAAAAAACAAGCCTTTTATAATACAGAAAGAGAGACACACACTCGTTCCGCTGACATGCATACAAATTGTGAAAAGGGGAGAAAAATGCGGCACTTTAAATTGAAGAAAATAATGCGCGAAATATTCGACAGCATCAACTCTCATTCAAGGCCGATGCTGCATCTGTCCATTTCGAATGCAAATATTTATTTTGCGCCTCATGAATATGTCAAAATCAATTGATTTCCATGCATACCCACACACAATCATACACAAAGGACCCACGCTAGAGTTTAAATTGAATTACACTTTCGAACGATGCGTAATTGTTGTGGTTAATTAATTTTGAAAAACCCCAAAAAGGCTGAAAATTTATATTTAGCGAGTTCAAAATAATATAAGGTAGCAGAAAATATTTGAATAAATAAATCATTCTTTAAATCGTATTTTAATTTTTCATATTTATTATTTATTGACAAAAAATAGTTTGTAGATTTAATAAAGGAAAACTTGTACTAATGTACTTTGGCTAAGTTTTAACTGTTTAAATTAAGTTTAATTATTGTTTGTAAGATTCTGAAAGAGTCTATTTAGTCTTTAATTTTGATATCAAAGTAATATATATTTTTTTATATATATAAAACACACTTTATACATAGATTTTTTGTATAAACAATTCCTGGAATATCCCCTTTTTATAACTATTCAAACAACCTCTAATTAACACACTTGTTTGCGTACATTTTTTCCTTAAACAAAGCCAATTAGTATTTTTTCCTATGTTTATTCAATTAATTGTTTTACAAATAACTTAATTTACATAATGCTTCAAAGTAGAAGAGTTGATTAAATGCGATGCCACTAAGGAACGTTGTATTATTCTTGGAAATACTATTTATCAAAAAAAAAGTATAGATTAATAATTAAATATAGTTTAATTAAATATATATTTTCTGATCTTATTTGATTGAATAACTATTAAAGAATAATATTAAAGATAAGTAACATTTTAAGTTTGAATTTCTAGCAATCAATGAATATGTTTTAATTAAATTTATTATCTTATAAAATCACTCAGAAATCCCTTCAATAAATTCCCTGTGTAGTTAAAGCAAACAAAAATGTAAAACCTAAAACAAACAATTATAAAAAAATATATAAAAAAAACCTCAAGCGAAATAACACATGTTGCCTCTCTTTATAAAAACACCACTAATGAACCTTTAGAAATACCACGAAAAAGCCCAATTAATCAATTTTCACCTGCATTTTTTTGTGTCCCTCTTTTTTTTAGAAACAAGAAAAAAGGCGCGAGCTGCGCCTGAAGCGATTCTGGCGCTCCCCGAAGACCACATCCTCGGAGGACTCCACCGGCTATGAGAGTCCGACGCGAACGAAGGCGGCCAGCGCCGGGGGCAGCAGCGATGCCCAGCGCTTTAATCACCTGCACTACACCAGCCTGTCGCAGGGATCGGGCACCTCGTCCTCGGCGGGCGGAGCCACTGCATCCGGGGCGGGGTCAACAGGAGCTGGGCCGTCCGGCAACAATAAGCCCTCCTGCTCGCTGCCACTGTTGCAGGTGTGGCCCAGCCAGGTAGGCACTCATTTTGTTTTTGTTGCATATTTTTTTCCAATACTAAGTTGTGCAGGCAAAAACACGTTTTAAAGTTGGAGGAAAATTTTAACCAGGAAAATGAAAATGTGTGATTAAAAACCTAGATTTATATTATAATAATGTTTTAATGAGCGTTCTAGGTAACTATAAGTATGCAAAACTAAACTGTGTTTAAAATAGGCTTTATATATTTGCTTAATCAATTTTATTCCAACATTGCAAATGTAATATTTGTAAAAATTGTAATATACCTTTTGATATAAATATAGAAAGGGGTATTAATTGAGTAAAAGATTTCTTTAATTACAATATTCTTTTTTAAGATTTAAGAGCGGCTTAACGTCCCTTTAAATATCTACATCAATAATTTCAACAACTACACAACAACGAAATAACTGCCTTATTTTAAAGAACCCACAAAATTAAAGATGAATTATAAGCTCTTAAAATTATTGGCTTTTTTTAAAAGTTTTTTAACTGCGGAAGTGCCTTCAATATTTCAGAAAACTTACACCAACAATTTCAACAATTACATGTATCCCTCGCATACTTTAGAGTGGCCTAGAAATTTTTTATAAAAAATGAATAGACAATATTACCAAGTTTAAAAATCTAAATTTTAGAACGTGTATTTATTCCCTTTAATTTTTTGTGTGCCGTTTAAAAACAAGAGAAAATATTAAATTGTAGACAAGAAAAATTGTGATTTTGGGGAAACAAATAAGAACCACAACCGTTTCGAAAGTTTGGGCCTTTTCATTTTAATATTTACTTTTTTGTTTATTTTGTGAAACAAACTCGTTTTGCGAGTCGCTTATTCTGTGGCCAGTTGCGTTGTGCGTTTTTGCGTTAATTTGATTCTTCGACTCTCTATTTCTTCCCACTACACCGACACCAATGAATACCACCAAACCAAATAAACACCACAACAACACCAATGCCACACCATCACCAACACCACCATCACCAACACCAACACCACTCGCCTCTATAACATACATATCCCTATTGTGTGTGCGTTGCGTGTTTGGTTCGGTTCGGTTTTGGTTATGGTTATGGTTATGGTTATGGTTTTGGTTCTGGTTTCGGATTTGGTTTGGATTGGTTTGGATTTGGTTCTGGTTCTGGTTCTGGTACTATTTCTGGTACTTGTACTGGTGCTGGTTCGGTTCTGGTTTTGATAGCCGCTCCTGCGACAGGAGGGCTTCGTACAGTTGCGTCGTAACAGCGGCCCCGAGGGCCAGCGGGTATGGTTCCATCCAGTTCCTCATCTCTTTATCCAGCCTCTCTATCTCTCTCTCTCTAGTCTACTTCTAGTCTTTTTCTCACTCTCTCTCTCTCTATAACTAAACATTTAGTATATATCCCTAACTAAACTAGACTTTTTTGCATGCCTCAATTTGAAATTGAAAATAAAAAAGCCCTTTTTAAAGAGTGCGCTAGCTCTCTAAATAATTTTTGACTACTAACTTGTACAAATCTGACCACCGTACCCAACTTTTTGGAGGTTATTTTGTGTATTCTACACAATGTTTTTTTTAACCTAGAACTCGTTGTTATTCATGTATTTTAATTGGGCATTTTTTTCGCTAAAAAATATGTTTTTTTACCCCTGCACAAATATTGGTGAGAATTGGTCGACAAATGCCAAAGGAATTTTTGATTTAAATTTGAGATATAACTTTTAATTAAATATTTTCCACAGTTATACAGTTTAAAAAAATATTTTGATAAATAATAATTGGAAAATAAACGTAATTTTAGAGTAAAATTACTAAGATTAATAAAAATCCTTTCCTGTGTGTATTAATGGCAAGCAAAAATATATTTAAAATTTTGTTTTAAAAAAATATATTTAATATACAAAACTTCAACAAAATTAGTACTAAAATAATTAGATTCGAAATAAAGCATGCAGTTTTTAATAAGCAATTATTCTTAAAGCTCACAAAAGTATGCTATATTTTTTGAACACCAATTAAATGGGAGATTCCTTCAAAGTATATAGAATAAATTTAGAAATCGATTTAAAGTAGTTTCTATTCGAATTTTCTTACATTTGTCGATCAGTCCTTGCTCCAAGTTATCCAATATCACTTGTGTAAGTATCCCCCTACCAAGTCACCAGCCACACCCTGTATATTATCCACTAAAAAAGATTTTTTTAAGCCACCTAACTAACCGTCTTCACCACTGAGAATTTATCACTCCACCCACTCAAAAAAACAAAAAGCAGCGATTCCCACACTGCACTCGAGAACCAGCTTTAAAAGATTCCTTCAATCCCCTTTATAAATACCCCAAAAATACATACCAAGATGTTACCTATCTTATACATATGATTTGGACTCTTGCAGGACTCTCCGCGCGGCGAGGCGGATGGCCAGTCCTTTATATTCCCCGCCATTGTGGAGACAAGTGTCAGCAGTCCGGTGGTGGAGGCTAGTGGCAGTGGCAGTATTGGGAGCACCAACCTGAGTCTGAATGCCCGAAGGAGCACCAATCACCTGAGCCTGTCCACGGACCGAAGGAGTTCTCTGTACTGTGATACCCTGCATGCCGGGGATTCGGGCATCGATTCGGTGCAGGCATCGCCCTCGCCCAATGCCTTTATAGCACCGCCTGGTATCCATAATCTGCCGCTGGGACAGACAGGCGGTGGCTCCTGCCATGTCTCGCCGACGAGCACCCCAACGCAGGGATCACCGAATCTATCGCTGGGACGGCGGGGCATGAGGAATAGCATTTGTGTGGTCCCGAGCGGGAATGGGAGAAGGAAATCGAGTGCTCTATTGCATCCGGATCATGCCAGGTTATTTGCGTTGCGAATGAAACATGCCGCTGCGTTGGAACGGGCACAGACCTCACCGGATCAGACCTCCATTGAGGATGCCAATGAGTTCCATGACAATGGGCTGGCCACCAATCTGCGCCTGTGCTCGGCCTCGTCTTCGACGACGTCGTCGCTGACATCCGTGGCCGCGGTCAGTTTGGGCGGTGCCGGTGGCGGTGGAGCTGGTAGCTCTGGTGCAGGTGCAAATACCACCTGCGGCTCATCCTCCGGCTCCGCCTATGCTGTGGGTGCGGCGGGCGTCCAGCAGCGCGTCTCCGATCCCTGGCTGCAGCCGCAATCCGATCGAGAGCGAGACTCCAGGCACGACGGAAGGCGTAGATCCTCGACCATGACCGCTCGTTACTCCCTGTTCGATGCCTTGGATCTGGAGTATGTCCTACTGAGGGCCGCAGCCCGAGGATCTGTGGGTCCTTATAGCCTCAGTGAGTCCATACATAAGCTCACGTTTACGCAGTCACTGGCATTTCCGGCTCTGGCCCGGGGTTTGGCCACGAAACGAAGGAGATCGGCAACGCATACAAGCTCTAGGCCATTGAATCCCCATGAGTCGGATTGAATACCTGCGCCAAGGTGGTCACAGCCGTGGTTTTGGTGGCTCTATCCTTTATGGTATTCCTCATTGTCTACAAGTTTGTGAGGACGTGAGGTTTGCTCCTGGCCCCGTCGCCAGAGCTGCCAGTCACATATCAGGCCAACTATGGAGCCGAGGATGCATCGGCGTCGTCATCGTCATCCTCCTCCTCGATTATCTCGTCAGCGGGCCGCAGTCTGGGGAAGCACATGTCGGGGTTCAGGAGCAAATTGGGCCAACGTCAGGCCGACTTTGAGTGATTGTTAACGTTCGAGGAACGTTAGTTAAGGCATTGAGAAAAACACTGGTCAACATTATTTTGGTTAATCAAGGTGGTTCAAATGGGATTTTTATTCAAAGAGATTAAATTGATTGAATTTTGTTCATTTCATATTTTTAGAGACTCATTTGCAAGTTTAAATAGAATGATTAGATAACAAAACTCAAGAAAGAATTGGTGTACAAACATTTGAGGCAAAAGAAAATATATAAGTTGGTATCCTGACGTTGCGATATATTAATGTGCGATTAAACGATATTCGTTTCGATATATTGTACAAAAATAATCGCAAAAGAAGGTATATCAGATATTTATCGATTATTATTTCTATATTTTAATATTGAATGCGAATTTTTTGACAGTTAAAAATTCTATCTAACAAAATATACCATATTTTCAATATTATTTATTTAAACATTTTTCCAATATCTTATTTCAACTTTTCCTCTCCATATCCAAAATTCTGAAATCGCATCACCAATAATTAATAAATTTAGTTGACCAGTGAAATTTTTGTGATAAACTATCAATGACAAGCAAACTTTTGCACAAAAAAAAAATTAAATAAACTCAAAGAAGAAAAATAAAAGTAAGAAATTAAAGGCTTAAAAATTAGAAAAAAAAACACACACAGCTTCAAGAGGCTTGCCAGAGTTTCATCAAATTTATATTATACCTATATGAATAATAATATTTTTTTATAAATATAAAAATACAAAAGTGGAGAAAAACAAAAAAACAAAGAAATCAAATCGATGCTCGCATTTCGTAGTCTCCTATTTAGCAAAAGAGATTTTTTGATAAAACTAGAATCCAGTTTCATTGTTTGCAGTTGGAAGTGCCTAACTAATTTTTTAAAAGAAAATTACAAACAAATTAATTAAATATTCAGCTTATTCTTTTGTTCTCTTTCTCGAAAAAAATAAAATAAAAACGAATTTAGATTTTTGGCAGCTGCTTTGAAGATGAAAAACTGTTTTAAATGCTGCAAAGTAGTGCAAAAATAATGTCCCAGTAGACACAGTTTGATGGTAAAAAAAAAAATAATAAATTGGTGATGGGGAAAATGTGGTGAAGGAGGTTTATTTTTAATTTATTTTTTAATATTTTATTAAATATCTTTTAGTGATTAAATATTATTGAATTGTAAAGCATGGAAAGGAGTTTTTTGTTTTAGATTTTTTCCTAAACTGTTTGTTAAAGAAAATATTTCTTTTAAGCTGTCTCAACTTTATTTTATTTTCTTTGTGTTATTATTTCTTATAAATATCCTTCATCTATATTCCCCATAAAACCCAAAAACGCACCCTTTTCAGTGTTGAATAATTGGCATTAGTTTTAAGGATCAAGGAGCGTAGGACCTACATACAAGTAAACATTTGTACTGAGTTGTTAGATGGCTAATTGAAGGCAGAATGATATGATATATGATATATATATATATGGAAATCCAGGCATATTAAAATAACATATTTATGGTAGCTATATATATATATTAGTTATACAAGCAAATATATATATAAGTATATGTATATGGGTGTTTATAAATGTGTATTTAAGCGGCTTAAATGTGAAAAAAGCACTTGCTGAACTACCAATACAAACTCTCTACTCTTAACTTGCTGCCTTACTTTCCTCTAGTGAAAAAATAGTTGAAATAAAAATAAAAACTAAAGCGAACAATGAACAATGAACAAAGAGTCCCGACTTGCAACAAAAATTCTTCATAAATTGCTGCCTTACTTTCCTAAAAATAATAATATAAAAACCAAAAACTAAAAACCCCGAAAAAAAAACAAAACCTCTTTATCTCTCAGAGCTTTTTTCCTATTTCCTCTATGAGCTTGGCCTAAAAGAAATATGCAAAGAAAGAAAACATTTTATATAGAGTAAACAAATATATATTATATATATTAAATGTAATGTTAAATAATTCATATATTAATATAAAGCGCTGGCTAGAGTATAAACATTTTTGTGTTGCATAAGTTTAAGTTTTTTCGGCATCAATAATTTGTACATTTTGTCGTTGGCATTCATCAATATTATGCATAGTTTGATGTCCTTCTCTATTTTTTTTTACGTTACGATTGGTGTGCAGCCAACTATGATTAAATATAAAAAAAGAAAAATAACACAAAACTTGAAATGAAAAACTGAAAAAGAAATACATATTAAATGTCACACAAACAGAAATGAGAGGAAAATGAAAGAAGCAAACTGTAAATCGTAACTGAAGTAAGTTGAAACGTGCAACAATAAAACGAAAGGAAAACATTTTCAAATAAACATTTTCCATTTGTGTTTCTCTCTTATTTTCCCAGCGAGATTTTCTTGGTAAGGTATGGAGGGCAAAATTAAATTAAAAATGAAATATTCTTACTATCGCATTTAAGTGTCGATTTTCCCTTTGGCTTCCGGGAAATGCAAGTAACTAATTGAGAGTGACGTGGCAGTGGGGCAACCAAGCTAATGAAGATGATGATGATTTATGGAGAAGCTTCGAATTTCCAAATGAAGAAGTGAAAATGTATTCCGGGAGAACATGAATGCTTTTAAAAGAATTGAATTAAAGGGAGAAATTCTTGATAAAAATACTTTACTTTATTGAAAAGAAATGTAACTAAAGATTTCTTAAGCTATTCAAGGGAAATCCTTGTACTTAATAGTAAAGTACTCCGTAAATAACTAGAGTTTTTAAAAATTTTAAATTACTCTTTATAAGTACTTTTTTTTAAAGAATTTTAAAGACCCCTGTAATTTTTCTAGCACCCTAGTTTAACTCATTGAATTAATGATTAATTAGTAAACTGACCAAATTAAATACCAAAAGTAATAACTAAAAAAGGCCATCCTATTAACTGCACGAAATAATTAAAATTAATAGCACGGGTAAATATTTTCTGCCTTCGTAATTATAAACAAAAGCTCAACAACAATTAGTTGGCATTATTTTTCAACAGTCATTTAAAAAAAGCACAGATACTATTGTTTAAATATTAACAAGCATTAAAAAATTATTCCTCTAATAATTGAATTGTCAATATGTATTCTCTACTTACATATATATATATATATTTACATAATCTACTGCTGCCCAGAACTTAACAAATTGCGGAAAATCAGTTTTAGTTTCCCCACACATTTTCCCAGTTGAACATTTGGCCCAGCAATCAGAAAATTCGGAAAAACTTCCTCTGGGGGCTTTTGGATGATAAATCGGGCTGTCGGTGGTTGTCTTTCGGGTGAGTTGCTAATCTAAATAATTAAGCAAACTCAATTAGATTTGCCCGGGCAAATATGTGAATATATATATAAACACACAACCAGATTCAGTGTGTTGTGTGTTGCCAACTAATTTATCCATAAAAGGGCAAAACAAACTGGAAATGGAATGAAAACACTGACAAAATGCCTGGCAAAAAAAAGCATTTGGCACAGATTGCTACCAGAACTGGGCCAGAATATTTGACGAAAGCTGGCCCCAAGATAAGGGGAAGAGTTCGTATACATATGCTCTTCAGGATATGGTCAGAATCGGGTGGAATGGTTTCGGTCTGGTGCATAATTAAGCACGCAAACCGCAGAGAAATAAATATAACAAAAAAATGAAGATAGGAAGTTACTTTGAGAGACGAAGTATGAATACCCTTGTAGTTACATGGGTTCATATGTGAAAACGATTATATTAATTATGATATAAATTATAAAAATGCTTAAATCAATATTCCGAATATTTATAATTAACTTAGGTCGTTACTTTTAGTATAAGTGTGTAATTTAGATGGATAGTGGGATTAGTATTAAGGTTACATATTGCTGAATCATTTTAAATTATTTCAGGGGGTCCAAGGCAATAAGAAAATTAATGGGAAAATATACTTATAGATAAATATAATTATAATTGTCATGATTAAGACTTACCGCAGTAGAGAAGGTTATCCATTGCCGGTCTTTTTTAATTCCTTCCATTAGATGGCATCCTCGAAGTCATACTAATCATCCAAGTGTATTACATTTGAAGGCGAAGTCCAATCACTATCACTATAACTATCACTATCACCAACCACGATCACTTTAGATGTAAACACCGGCGAGGCCGCGAACAGACTGAGGGCAGCGCAGCAGAGTGCCTCTATTTATAGTCCCAGAGAAAAGAGAACAGAGAAAGGAGAAAGCAAGAGCGTAAGCAAGAGCCAGATCAGAGCGTAAGCAAGAGCGAGAGCCAGACCAACAGCGTGAGCAAGAGCGAGAGCAGCACAGGAGCAAGAGGAGCAAGAGGGACACCTCTAGAGTTAGAAAGCGAGAGTTCCAGAGAATGATATATCAGAGAAGCACAGTGAGCGATAGAGAGAGAGAGCGAGCTAGAGAAGTCAGAGAAAGAGGAGAAAGCTATTCACGGCCAATACAATATTATATTATTACAACAACAGTAACTAACTTTAGGAAACATTGACTAACTTGATGCTGATCAAGAATATATATACTATATATGACCGGAAATGACTCCTTTACTGCGTTACAACTCCTACTAAAATTATAATACCCAGCAAGGGTATAAAATAAATGCCACCGAAAAATAACGAAATCAGTGGCTGCGGGTTAAACACACACACACACAATTCTCATGGCCGGATATTTGGTAAACGCGTGTATATTGTGTATACGCAGTGTGGGCCTGTGACCAGTTTGGCCATCGAAAAAAGGCAACCAATTGTCACAAAAAAAGAGAAAATTGAAATACAATTTTAAACGATTCACTGCATTCGAATCAACACAGCACAGTGACTTTTAATTTCAAGTCCCCGCTTTTTGGTGGCATTAAAAATATTTCAACAATTCTGTGTTTGGTTTATGCAGTGAAAAAAAATATTTTTAAAATAACAGAAATAATGACAAACAAATTGCATAAATGCTAAGTACATTAAAAAAACAACTTTACAATTTTTTTTTAAAATATTTAATTACATTTAATTCAGTTAAGTGTTGAGCATGTTTCTAATTTTCTATAATTTTTAGTTTCTCTTATTATTGTTTCATTTATGGTTCATTTTGTACAACATTTCTAACCACAAATAAAAAATATAATAAAGAATTAAATTTAATACTTATAATATTCATATGCTTTTTTAAAAATTTTTTTAACCGATTAAAATTTTAATGTGCATTGGCTATGAATTCAAATTTTTAGAAGTATTTTTTCCAGTAATAAAGATTTAACATGCTTATATGGTATTTATTTATTATTCTTTGTTATTTGTTTCAATATTTAATATTTTTTATATTATTACATAAAATATATACATATATATATTTACATGCTCAATAAATATTTATTCTTTTTAAGTTGAGGTTTAATCCTAACGCACCTTAAATTTCTCATTAAATAAATATGAATACAATTCCTCTGCATTTTAACATCTTCTAAAATCTCTTTAGCTACACAAATTTTTTTTTTTTTTAATTTAATTTCTTAATTTAAGTATTTTCCTTAACGTGTTAGTCCTCGCTGCTGCCTCCTCCTGGTACTGTATTTTATACCTTTTGATATCCTTTAGCTGTATATATTTTTAGCACTCAAGGCTGTGCCAAAGCTACGGATGCTCATGCGGATGTGGAATGATTTGAAAAGTGGTGTAGGCAACAGTTTGTAGGTGGGTGGTGGGTGGTTGGGTGGTGGTGTGGTCCAGGGAAAAAGGGTTAAGCATACACACACGAGCCGCCATTGCCGCCACCGCCGCCCCTTGAGAGCCACCGCAAATGCGCCTGTTTTATTTTATTTCTCTTTTTTACCAGTTTTTTTTTGTGTTTAAAACTTGTTGCAAAATACGAGCTGCCGCTGCTGCTGCGAGCCTCTGTCGAGGCCTTGACTCTGACTCTTGAATGTCCTTGCTGGTGGGTGGGGCAGGGGAAGGCGAGGGGTAAGGACCTTGAGCAGAAATTGAAAATTGAAATTTGTGGGGCTGCTCAAGAGTAATGTATTTTAGATTTGTTTTAGGGTTATGTTAGAAATTAATAAATAGGATTTAAAATAGGATTAAAATAAAATACAATTAATAAAACATTTCAACTTATTTATAAATATTTAAAAATTTATATTTTGTAACTAAGATAAATTAATTCGATTTATCCTTTTATACCCTTGCAGGGTATTAATATTTTAGTCAGAAGTTTAAAATAAGTGAAGGAGTCATTTCCGACCCTATAAATCATATATATTCTTGATCAGCATCACAGCCGGATCGATCTTGCTTCTTAGGAAGAAAAAAAATGTTGATAATTTTTTCAACATTTTTTAGGATTTTAAAATGTCAAAATTACGAAAAAAAATTAATTTTTTTTCATTTTAAATCGAGTATGCAGATTTATTAACCTAACAAAAACTACGTGGGAAAGCTTTCCGAATTAAAATTAATGCATTTTTGACTGAATTATGAATATTTAAAAAATTTATTTGTGAAAATATTGTCATATTATTTGTGATATGAAAAAGAACACAGTTAAGTGAATTGAAAAAAAAAGAAAATAGGAAACATATTTTCATATTTGTTATGTATTGTTTATTATTTAATAACATTGTTTCTCCCTTTAACTGCCCTAAAATATTCCTGAAACATATTAAATGATGGTATTACATTTATTTCGAATATATTATTTAAGTACAATTATTTAATATAAAAAATATAAATACAATTTTTTCCACCTTTTATATTTTCTGTATTTCTTAAAAATTTTCTAAGATATGCTTAAGCCCCTTAAAATGATAAAACAAAATTCTGTTGAACTAAAATATATGTGTTCGCTCAATCGAAGGCTGTAATTTTGTGAAAAGTAAGCCAAATTGTGTTGCCTTAGCCTTCGCCCAAAAAGGTCAAACTAAATTTGATTTGAATTTTAAATTACGCACACGATGAAAGTAATTTACCTAAAAATTTCACAAATGATGATCCGCCAAATTGGATGGGGCAGAGAGAGAGGGGTCATGAGAGGTTACCAGGACAGACACTTAAGGGTCAGGGTGCCATGTAACAAGATAAGACCCTTTACTGGAACTGAAAGACCTTTTGCATTTCAATTAAAAATGATTAAAGATACACAAGAAAAAGGTTAAAAGGCGCGCATGCAGCACAAAAATTTGTTGCGGGCAAATAACTTTCGAGAGGGGGAAAAAAAAAGAAAAACAAGCAACAGGAAAAGTAGAAAAGCCAAGCGAGCAGGGAAAACTGTCACACACACAACCGAACAAACAGATAACCGTAAAGATATATATATATTTTATGCAAACGTAGGCTTTACAAAAAAAATATAAAACAAAGTCCTGCAACCATGGAAATTAGTTTGCTGACAAAAACAAATGCGGATACATTTCTTTTTACGAGGAAACTTGAAACTTCAGTGCAGCAGGAACTGAAAAGGAACAAGGAAGAGGAACTGTCAAGGAAATGCGCGTGCACTGAGTTTTCTTTTGGCAGCAAAAAAAAAAACAAAACACACAATGGGAAAAGCGTTGAAAATGAAGAGAAAGCAGCGACACAGTGTCTGGTTGTAGACGCATGTTGCTGCCGCACTTTACATCCTTTTTCCTTGTTTTTTTTTGTTTCCTTTTAACAATTCTTTTATGATATCCTTAATAAACACACATGGAAAAAATAACACAACAATATAGAGTGGGTAAAATTAAAGATCTTAAATCAACGATTTTTCCACAAGAACTTTATAAAAATGTAGGAAAACCCTAGGAAAGAGATAATAATTTTATTTTAATATAATATTATTTGTGTATAAACATATTTTGGCAAGTAATTAATTAAACTACATACTTTTGTGTATATCTTCTGGTTTTTTAAAGTTGCTCAACATTTTTTCTTGCTTTTTTTTGGGATAGGAATAGAATTAAATAAGTTTTCCAAACAGTTTTATCAATTTTATTTAATTTAATAATAATTTTACTAATATATTTTCTTGGGTAATATGCAAACATATATTTTAATAATATTTCTCACTTTATTATATCATTTTTTAACAGTGCACAAGGAAATACAAACAGTGGCAGAGCCGAAATGTCTGCAATTTCAATTCGCCAACATATGTCTCCGTTTCCCGCTCTCTTTTCCCATTTTCCCGTCTCTTCTTAGCCCTCCGGCTAATGTGTTTTCCCCTCTTTGCTTCGGCTGCACTTGCTTTTAATGAATTTTAAATTTAATAACCAAGCACTTAAAGTGGATAAATTTAATAAACATAACTATTTGCAAATTCAATGCTGGAAGCGAAACAAATAAAAGGTAGATTTTCCGGGAATCAAGTTCGTCCTGCACCTGACAGCTAATTGAGCCCAGTTGGGCTCTGTCCTCTCTCTCTCTCCCTTTCTATATCCTTGCGGACTATTTTACGGCCCCAAGGAACTGGCACAAAAGCCCCACGCACACACCTGAGCCTGAGTTAAGGTCCTGACTGGCCGTCCGCCTCCACTCTCGTAAGACAATTATGAAATGCGTTTTTTATAGTCCTATTATTGCCGGAGTCCCCGGCATCCGGGACAGAGCAGGGGACAGCATACAATCGGGCTTTGTTATATGGCCAAGATCGCTTTGTCTTGGCCATTTTCTGGCGTTGATTAAAAATATACGTACGTGCATACCGGACGCTTGTATAACAATGTCCTTTTTGGCTTCAAGGGAAAGCCTCAATTTTTCTCGCTATTGCCTTGATTACATTACATTTAAGATTTAAGAACAACAGAAAAAGTGAGCACAAAATTGGCTCATAAAATTTCAGTTAAGCAGCTTTGCTGCATTGTTAAGTTTTCTCTGAAATTATAACTTTTTTATACTTTTTGCTTATAATTAAAGCTAGTTATATTTTCTTGATATATTTAATTTAGAGTTAACTGTATAAAATATATTTTTTGAGGAAAGAAAACTCAAAATGAAGAAATTCTTAGCAATATTAGTTTCAAAATTAAAATTAAAAAATTCCTTAAATAATTCCGCTGTGGAATTTATTTTATTTTAAATTGAAAACATTTAAGAAAATATTCCCTAAGAGCCTTTCAAATATTCAAATTAAAAAATAACGGATTTCTTAGTTCAAAACCCTGGAGCCGTAAAAACAGCTGTCTTCAGTCGATATTTGGTATACCGATAGTTAAATAGTATTGAAAATAGTATTTTTGACATTCTCTGCAAACGGTCACATTGCTTGGCGGCTTCAACAAAATTTTCGGGAAAAAATAAATAAGCAACTTATATTAACTATAAAAATGAACCAAGATCCCGAAGAGCAATCATTTCAAATGCAGGCCCTTGAAATACGCGAACCGGATGCCAATTTTGATCCAGAGAAGCCACCAGAGTCCGGGGAGGAGTACTTAATGCACATGGCCTACGAAAGGAAACGCTGCCCGGCTGTTGTGACCAAAAGATCTTCGAAAATCAAGGATTGTGTGGGAACAATACCTTGCAAATATGGAGAATGTAAATAGAATGACAAGACAGCTCCTACCAACTGTTTAATTAATTACTCTTCCTTTTTTCAGCCCGCTTTGCCACCTTTTAGGTGCCTGCTTCCCACACCGGAATGGCGACAGCAACAGGTAAAATCCTTTCAAATTGCTCGCTCCCAGGTGCTCATCCTACGCAAGGAGCTGGCCCAGAATAACTACGATCAAGGGGCTGAACCGCCTCTAACCTCCGATCAGGAGAAGTGGCAGGAATTCTGCCGGAATCAACAGCCCCTGCTCAGCACAATACTGCATTTGACTCAAAACGATTTAGAGCATCTCCTGGAAATGCTAAGCAACTGGCTTCAAGCCGAGGAGGTAGATCTTCTCCAGGATGTATGGCTAGCCCGCTGGCTGTATGCCACCTTGGTGTGCCTGCATCTGCCACTGGAACCATATGTCTTCAGCACTTTGCGTTACATTGCTCGTTCCTGCATCCATCTCAGAAATCAATTGAAGGCTGAGGAAAGCCAGCGAGCAGCGCCCTATAATCTATTACTAACACTTATACTAGATGTCTTTGCACAGACTGATTTTAAGGAATATATATAAGCTTCTCATCATATTTTCTTTTATATTTAATATTGTGGAAACATGCGTCTGTAAGCTTGGCAAATATCACAGCTGCTTTGATGATGATCGTCCATAAGTGTGGACAAATGGCTGCTGCTGCTCGGCGTCAACGATGAACTCTGGCTAAGGCTGCTCAACTGAGTTGTGCTGGAACAAGAGGATAGACGTCGCCCTGCTGCTGAAGCTGGTCTGGGGAACCTCCTCCTCGCCAACCTGGACAACAATTGGATTGACGACCATGGCACACCGTTTGCTGCTGCTTTCGTGGCTGCTCTAAGCGGCTTAAACAGCGGCTCTCCACATGGCGATTGGTCAATGAAGAAACCGGCTGCTCTTCCCTAAACCCGAGCACTGCACCCCTTTTTCCTATCCTGCGTCGTCAGTTGGGCAGAGAGCTCTACTTTAGGAGCAATAATACCAGGAAACGCCGGTGTGGCCTTCATCAGAAGCTGCACATTGGAACTGTGGGCGCAGCTCAAACGGGGAATAGTGGGCTGCATCACATCCGAGAGGTTTCCAATGAAGTAGGCCAATCTTCGACCATTCTGCCAAATGGTAATCTCCAGTTGTTCCGATCTTAGAAGGTCGTGCATATCCTCCAGGCATTCCACATTCTTGAAATAGCCCTCCATCGTGAATTGGTCGTGGCACAGCATAGGAAATCGTGGCTCCATCGCTCCCGTTCGAAAGTAATAACCCAAAGTTTTAACCGTGGCCTCCAAATAACCGTGGGAGCAAGCCAAACACCGGGACACGTGAGCTGAAATATAATAAGATCTTAAAAGATGGATTATATACCAAAGATTCCACCAACCGCATGAAGTTGCAGGTCCAATCTCACATAAATCTCTTGTGAGACATTTTTTAAGGAAATTGTAAGTGAAAGTATGCTATATCTGACGGTGGAGGCCAAATATGGGGCGGGCATTGGGGGGCGCTTTGTTTTGGAGCCATTTGGTTGCCAAGGAGAGCCGTTAAAATGCGAATTTCAAAGTCGATTACTTATCGATATCGACAGCTAGGACACGTAGTTGTTAATTATTCAGCTGGCGGCTTAGCTTCTTTATAATATTGATACTCTAGATTTGGCGGGAAAAAAGCTGAAGTGGCAACCTGGCACCCGACAGCACGAAGAAAGATTTCTCTCTGGATTGACAGATCTGTTTATGAATTTTACATCTTACATGAGAATTCCATGTATTTGTAAACGTGGAAAATGGTTATCTAGACGTTTAAGATGTAACATTTTAATAACATCAAGTTATTCAAAACATTGATATCAAAAAAGAATATCGCAACATCGATATTTGGCAAACAAAATATCACGATATAAATCTATCATTTTGAGAAAAATATCGATATTTTGATATATTTCCAACAACTCTAGCTTTGTTTTGGAAGAAATTAAAAAAATTGGAGATGCACTTCAAGACATTACCCATTTATCTGGGCCTCGTGCCTCTACTCCTCCAGGTCACAAGTGCTGATTCCCCGAGGAGGAGCAGGGCGTTCGCTATGCCAATCGCTGTGAAGCCTGCAAAATCCTGGCCGCCGAACTGGAGGCGCGGCTCGGTGAGACCGGCAAGTCCCATGATGTGATCGAGATCGGCTATTCCTTGGATGATGTGAAGCCAAAAAAGCGCACGGAATACCGGCGAAGTGAGCTGCGGCTGCTGGAGTCTCTGGAGAACGTCTGCGAGCGTGTACTCGAGTACAATCTGCACAAGGAACGGACGGACAGCACGAGATTCGCCAAGGGCATGTCGCAGACCTTCCAAACCCTTCACGGCCTGGTGGACAAGGGCGTCAAAGTGGATCTGGGCATACCCTACGAACTGTGGGACAAGCCACCCGTCGAAGTCACCCAAATGAAGACGCAGTGTGAAAATATGCTGGAGGAATACGAGGAAAGGATCAGTGATTGGTACTTTGAGCTCAGGATAAGAAGTCCCTGAAGAAGCACCTTTGTGAGGATCATGTCCTCAAGAGGAAGGAAGAACGAGAATGTCTTAAGGAGGAACTGCCACCACCGAAACCCAAAAAAACGGACAAAAAGAAAGTCGAAAGGAGATAAAGAGGAATTGTGAGGCCAAAGAGCAAATGCATATCAAATGAACTAAATTCTAATCAATTCCATTTCGTTAAGAAGATTCAAGTTAATTTTTAAATATTTGATAGCATTTATACGATTTCTCAACATTTTAGGTATAAGTAATAGAAGTTTAATATTTTTTTTAATTTGCTTGAGAAATGGAATTACATTAGAATAAAACTGTAGTTTAAAGATAGTTTAAGTAAAAAAGACTCACAATGTCACTCAAATTTGTATCCTGTATCCAGAGCCAAGCCTTCCTTAACGATTGAACCACAAAACGTTACTGAAAGTTTTACCTGGGACCATTGGCAGGCTTATTGATTTCGGCCACGAATTGGGGTCGACAATTAAAAGTTGACTGCCCTCGGGAGTCCAACACTCGCTCATAACCACCACCATAGTCCCCAAGTGCCACGTGGTTGCCTTAAACATATTGTACAAGACCGATTACATAGCACTTGCCAAATATATAATAATAAATGATTAATGTTGCAATACTCATTACAGTTTTGACAGTTTGTATGGGATTTTAATCTGTAAAATGTAGCAATAAAAATTCTTCCCTTGCTTTTGTATGTCTTTAATAAATACGTTGCGTATGTATATTTAAAGTAAAAAATATTTATAATCGAATAATTGGATTTTTCATCTTTGAGTTTTCGTTTGTTTAGAATCACTACATCTTCTCGGCTTCTTGGGGGACTACTTTACCCCAAAACCCAATGGAGTCTTTAGTTTTGATTACATCGAAGTTCAAGAAGCCCATTTGGATATTATTTAGTTTGCTTATAGCTTCATCACATCCCAGGGATCGTCCATATAATGTAAAATGGCTTTATCGTGAAGTTATCCCCAAAAACTTCCTTAAGTAGCCGTAAAACGCGCTCCTCAATGAACGCCACCTGATCCTGTGGACAATAATCATCTTGGGCCGAATGGGCCATGGTTATGGCCACCGGTGGCACGGGTAGACGTTCAATAAACCTTTTGAAATTCGTAAAGTACGATTCGAGCTCCTCGGCGGTGCTATGTGATGCGGCAAGCCGTTATTGTCGGTGGTGCTGCCCGAATCGAAGATTAAATGCCAATCGATCTCATCATCCGGATACTTTTCCTGCAGCTGCTCAGCTAACTGACAATCTTGGCATATACCTCCGGAGTAATAACCTTCTCATCTGGCTTTTCCAGTCCCTCGAATGTACGTTCCTCCTCCAAATGCCAGAAGATTTGCTTGAGAGCATCCAACTGAGTCTGCCTGCGCTCCGCCGTGGCCATGTAGTCTGCGATGGTAGCGGTTCCCGAACTTTTAATCTTCTCCACACTCTCGAAATGAAAGATCTCCTTCAGCTGATTGTAGCAATCAGCATCCTTGTAGATTTCCAAAAATGGATTCGAAGTGCTAAAGAAATCCAAATCTATATCGAGCACAAATCTCGGGGCATCCTCCAACGCTAAGAATTCCTTTGGATCGAGATTCTCGTTATCGCATCGTGAACCTGCAGTTCGACACTTTGGCTTCCTGGAGATCATCGGTGGTGCAATAGTTGCCATCGGCAATAAGTAATCCAAAGGACAATCGACGCCAATTCGATCCTCCTTGTGACCCACTTTGAACTGATGCCGGCCGGTGGGCAGCTGTTGGCACCATGAGTTCTTAAGCCAAACGACACGATTAAAGTGACCTACAGGAGGGGAAGAAAAGGGATAATTAAAATTAAAATCCAGTAAAGAATCCTTCCACTCACCCGCATATAGAGTGGGCATGATCCAATTCTCTATGCTCAGCTCATTGAGCATTGTGTCCTTGTCAAATGCCGACTGGCGGCTATATGTCTGGTATAACAGATCTGGATGCGAATCAAAGTGCACCAGTATATTATTCTCCAGTGGAAGATGTCGAGTGCCCAAGCAGCGATATATAAACTCCAGACATCATTGTGATAATCAACAATAAAGACGGGGATGCGTTGGAATTTCCTTGGACTACTTGGGGTGCTCTGCACCCTAAGTAAGGGCATGACCCGGGCGGGGATCAGTGGGGAATCTCCTCATCATCCTCGTCATCCTCCAAATCTTCGCTCTCCTCGCTTTCGTCCTCCTCCGCACTCTCTTTTTCCTCCACAGTCTTTTGTCTCTTTGTTGGCGGCGCCTCTCCTCCGCCTCCTCCTCATCCACCGCTGCAGCCTTGCCTTCACCGACAGTGTCATCGAACTCTCGGGACTTTCACTTTGTGTTAGCTTTTTCAAAGCCGCCGCCGCACTCTCCTTGTCCAGCGTATCCGACTCCATTTCGTCCCGGGTGTTTTTTAATATAAACCGTATGGGAACTTAATTTCGGCTATTAATTATTGGCATTTAACTTTTTGTATTTAATATTTCTTTGATAGGGATGTGAAAAATATACCAAAATATCTGCATATCGATACGGGTTTATCGATGGTCTTATCGTTGACCAACTAGTATTTTGGTATTTTTATACCGCGGCGATAATTTTGAATAATTTGCCGCTCAAATTTTAATTTGAAAAGGGAGGTTCGGGTTTTATTTATTTTTAATTTTATAAGTTTGATAAATAAAATATTTTGAGGAAGACCTTTTTATTTTCTTCTTGTTGGACCATAAACGCTCTTTTTAATAAAATAGGACTGTAGAATAAAAAAAGTAGTAAATAATTTACTATATTAAACTCAATTATCGGTATAGTTATCGATTTCATTGGTAAACGTCGTTAATTTTAAATATTTCTACCTAAAATACTCACTTTGAACTTGTTTATTCGCTTTAATGTTGCGTATATATAACATATAATTTTTAATAAATATTAAATTATTCTTACAAGTGTATTTAGTTTATGTTTAGTTTTATAAATATTTCAATATCTTTGTTATATTTTATGATAAATTTCACAGTTTATTTAATATTTGATGAAGAACATTTGTAAAATAAAGTTTATATATGATTTAAAATAAAATAATTATTAAATTGATTTAATATCTAAATTAAATAAATTATATTGCTCAAATTAATTATATAAATAAACTTGAAAGAAAACAAAGTGCCTCAAGAAGTCAAGGATTTTCCAGAAACTCATAAAAGCTATGTACATATGTACATTCAATTGCAAAGTTTGTGAAAGGTGATTTTTTTGAAAAGAAATTCATTAATTAAACATCACTCCCCCTGTAAGCTAGGCCCACACATATAACCCCCCCCCCCCTGTGGGCTGTGCCATTGCCACCACCCACATTTCAAGGTTGCGCTCACATTTCGGAGATTTAAATCAATATTCCGTGTGTATCTGCGAAGCTCGGACGCTGCTTGGCGTAATGCGATTGCTATTGAGACTTGGCCGGAGCTTCCAGCCCGCAGAAAGCGCCGCCCACGCTCATCCGGAGCTTTTCATTCATAAGTTGTTAATTTTCTGTGAGTATTTGTAATTTTGCAGCGGCAGAGGCGGACGCCCGCCCACATGGCCGATTGGAATGCGTAAAATGTTGCCGCAGTGTAGGTTCGTGTGTATCTGTGTCGCTGTAACTCTGTATCTGTGGGCTTCTTTTTTTGTATCTCTATCTTTACTGGTTATTTGCTTTTTCTGTTTCATTTTCGTTTTTGTTGTTGTTGTTGTTGTGCTTTTTGCAGCTGGTGAAAATGAATGGCGGCTTGGTGGTCTGGAAAAACGCCAGCGCCGACTGCGCTGCTCGGACGTGGGCGTGCAATGTTTCCGCCGCTGGAGCGTTATCAAAAATATATATAACTGTATATAGGGTTTTGTGGGTGTCTTCCCTACAAACACTCTCCTTTTATTTCAATTTTTTTATGTTTGTTTTTATTTTACTTATTTTTTTGGGAGCCAAGTTATTGCGTAGGCTGTGACACCCCAAAATATATATATGTATATATAGTCGTACCTCCAAACGCTACTTTTCTGGTTTGCCAAATTACAACAAGGCCTAAAGTAATTCATAACATCGGTTTCCTATTGGGTTTAATTAAAAAGTTCAAATTGGAACTTTCGGGGGATATTTTGTTATTAAGTAAAAATAGAGATTTACCAAAAATTGTATATAAATGTCTAGGAAAAATGCAGTTTTGTATGCAATAAATTTAAGTATTTCGTATACTATATAATACAGATATTGGCAGTAAAGTATTACTTAATACTTTATCATTTAAATGCTTTTCTTTTTGATATTAAAAATTAAAACATTTCAATATTTCCAACATAAGATTCAGCTTTTCATTGTTTTCAAAAAATTCTATCATATTTTTCCCCACAATTTATATATAAATGCACTACATGTTCTTCCTGAAACTCCCCATATTTAATTTACAAATTACTTGGGTCAATGTAATTAACAAGCATTAAAACAACAAAAATTGCTACAATTTTCAAGGGGGGAAATGCTTCTCTCTAAAACGGAAGTGCCAACTTTGAGAGCATCGCCCCTTTAGCTCCGACTTTTGATTGAATCAATTGGCTGCAATTTCGCTTTTAGTTTTTATTATTATTTTTGTTTTTGTATCAATTACAGTAGCTCTGGGTTTTCCCTAGCTACTGTCTCACCCAATTCTCGCAATTAATTTGCCTCCAGCTTGACCCCGTAGGTCAAACACAGTGCCGCATTAACCTTCGTTAGCCTCTGTTTTTTAACAGTTCTTTCCTCTACAATTGAAGAAGGATGGACGATGGGCGATGACAAAGCCGACTATGATGATGACAATGATGATGATGATGAAGATGAAAAGAAAAAACAACTAGGGGAAAAAGCCAGCAGAAATTTCTGCGCTTGAATGCTCTAGTTTAAAAATACAAGCTCGTAAAGTCAACACCCGAAACAGGGTCGAAAACGAGGGGAGTTTAACATCATTTTAAAGAAATATATAAAAAAAAATAATAATAAATTTAAGAAGAGTTTCTAAAAAGCTATATAAGTTAATGCTTATATGTTTGTAATTCATATTATTTTAATTAAATAAAATATAATAAAAATGTTATTAAATTATGTACCTATTTAATTAATACAATATTTCAAGTTAAAAAACTAACCCTTAAAATAACTTTGCATTTAATTTCTAAGAATTATATTTACGCAAACATTTCGATAAGATTTAAGGATAAAAATTCATCAAGCTCCCACCGGTAATGACGTCAAAAGGATTTTGATTCTGGCGTAGGTGCCTGCTTTTCGTTTTCCCCTTTTTACCATCCTGTATTTTCTTTTATTTCATTTTATTATCCCTTCCCTTCCTTCGAGAGGAACACGTGGCTCTGGCTGTGTTTAAGCCACCGTGAGGCTGAGACTGAGTCAAAGGGAAACTGAACCCGAGAACCCATATACATATATAGCACAATACAAAATCCTGAAACAACGTCATTCGAATTTCAATTCGTTAAATAGTCATTCAGTCATTTGGTCAGGTCGCAGTTTGTTTCATATCAATCGCAACTTTTGGCTCGCGTGGGTTGAATGAATGTTTCACATCTTTTTTTCCCTTTTATCTGGAGAGACTGGAGTTTGTGGTGGATTTTTTGGCTATATTATATCATTTTAAAAGGTAATTAAGTATTAAATAATTTTTTAAACTATAAAAATTGTTAATTGTTATAATAAACAAATTTTTCTACGTTTAACGGTCATATCTTTAGAATTTTCAAGTATTTTTCAAACCACAAATTCAAACATTTTTAATATAATATTACGTATACGTGATGCCAAAATATTACTCATACGCCACGTGGCTTAACTTAAAATTGTTTAAATTTCAATTTATACCAAAATTTAAGTAAATTTACTTTATAATATTAATCTTAAATATACAAGTAAATGTATTTCCAAAACTTAAGCAGACTTTCGGCTATAAAATCCGAGCATCACTTTGTCTGGAACAACGTCATCAGAGTGCCACGAATTTAAAATACTGGGAAGCGGGAGAAGAACGGCATACGGGTATCTATATCTATATATATCAATTCATATATATGTATATATATATAGAATTTGTGAGATATATCAGGCTCTTTGGTCTGGTCAAACGTCAAACGCACGTCGATCGTCAGATTGTCGATTGTCGAGACCCCCGAGTGGCGCCCACCGACATCCGTTGGGGCTCATATGGGCGAAGAATGATTCACAGAAATCATTCGGAACGGAACTCTGGGGGCTGGAACACTCTGGGGCTTGGCAAGTGGGATGATGATTTGATTTGATGCTAAAATGAGTGTGTGAGTAAAGTAAAGTAAAGTATGTCTGATCAGGCGGAACGGAAATGCGAATGCGAGATAATCAGTCGGGCCAATTCTTAATCCCATTTCAGTTGTTTTAGGTCAGTAAAGTGGAGTGAAAAAAAGTAGTGTGGGAGAATTTTTTATTGTTACTATTATTAGATTAAAATATAGTGTAAGAAATTTATGAAGATACTCACTATAATTAATAGAAAGGGGGACAAGGCGTTAACTGACATATTGCATATATGTATCTGTATTAGGATTTTGCCCTTCTGAATACCTTTTTTCTGAATGAGTATTATAATCTACAAATTTCTAGGGTATCAAAATTAATACCTAAAAATAATACCCTGCTACCAAATCTGACCAATTATCGTATTACCAAGAACAGTTTAAATCTGTATTCGATGACTTTACACATATGTATAAATCGATAAGAAACGATATATTTCCCTTTCAAGCTATCAATATACAATAAGGTATATTATTCATTCTTCATTTTTAATTAAATCATCACAACATATATGTAAATATTTCAACCCCAACTTTGATAAAAAAAATTAAAATTAAACCGCATACATAAGATATTTCTGGATATGATGAATAAATCCCCAACATGACTTATAAGAAAACTCTTTTATATGGCAGCCGATTAAATTTAAATTAAAAACCACACAAGATATTTCTGGATATGATGAATAAAACCCCAACATGACTTATAAGACCCCTCTTTTATATGGCAAACGGATAGCAAATCACTCTGATCCCGTATTTTTCCTATATTCCCAGAAATTTCCCCCATCATTCCATATCGGAAATGGCCATGACTGAATGAATGAATGTACTATATCTAAACACATTGTGTGGGCGTCATCATCATCTCTATATTGATTAGACAATTGGTTTTGATAATCAACAATCAAATGCCGTCACCTACCTGTGCCAATCGTGAGGTGCAAAAAAAGGTAATTCAATTTTTCAGTTAATAGATTAAAGTTTACCCCCCAACGATAAGACAGATAATGCGTTGGAGTGATTCATTGAGCTCTGTATAAATGAGTCCTCCAATTGGGTATTCCCTTTTTGGTGCTGGAATTAGACATTGAACTTGGTCTCAACCGAAAGAAAAAAAAAAGAAAAACGGAGCCCCAAGGTTTGACCTTGGTTTCTACAGTGTCAGAAAATAAGAGTAACGAGCAAGGCCATTCCCCGCAATATGCAATTGAGCAGCTTTTTGAAGTTTGCTATTCCAGGTGCTTACCTCAAATTCCTCTGAACTTTGATGCTAAACTGAAAATAATTTTATGGGATTTATTTTGAGTTTACACAAAATTTTATGAATTGGTTGATTATAGCAATAAAAAGTTATATTTTTCCATATCTAGAAATGGAAGTGGAAATTTTTCGTATCTTTAAAGCGTATAGATTATTAGAGTTTAATTAAAAGATATTATCAACCCAAAACAATTTAACTTAATAATATTATAAATTTACAAGACTTTAAATAAATATAGATGAGAAATCAAAATGATTCCGGGAAGCCGAGGTATATATAGAATCGAATTGGAAATAATTAAGCTGAAAATATTTGGATTCTGTAAATAGAAATTACGTTATTTTTATTTGACAATTTTACCGACAAATCAAAATTTAAAAAACTTAAATTAAGTCAAAAAAACATTATTTTTAAATCTAAAAACAGTCCAATGTTAGTTTTTATAAGGTTAACAAATCTGCGTACTCTATAAAAAAATTTTAAAAATTCAAATTTTGTATACATTTTTTCACAATTTCAATGCTGTAAAGTTCTGAACAAAAAATTAAAAAAAAAATTTTTATTAAACATAGCTAGATCGATTCGGCTGTTCATGCTGATTAAGAATATATATGATTTATAGGATTGCAAATGACTCCTTCATAGCGTTTTAAGCTTCTGATTTAAATTATAAGGATAAGGATAAGGATGCAAGGATATAAAATTACCAAAATATCTGTATGATTTTATCATCCTTTTTTCTAACTAACAATTTTTAAATATACAACTTTAATATTTACAGTCTTTGTTGATTTTTTTCAGTGCACGGTTTCTTCTTTCGCCCTTTCTTCTCTGGGCTGGCAGACAAGCTGGTGGCCTCCCACGCAAAACGAGTGTCCTGGGGAACGGCACCTCCGTATTCCCCCAGCAGCGAGGACACCCACCACATAGTCCTCGGGTTCCAAGTCGCAACCTTGCTTCAGAGCTGAAAGCGAGCAACGCCTTATTGCGTGGGTTTAAGCATAGATTCCGTATTGCCACTTCTCTCACTCTTACCACTCATTTCCCCCCAGTCCCCCAGTCTGTCTTTCTTTCTTTCTTTATTTATCCAACGGTTTTCGCTGCTGCGTGGGACTTTCATTCATGAAAATTATGCTCGAAAGTCGTTGCCGATTCGCATACATACACGTGTATCTATGTGCACATACAAAAGCACGTTGTGCTGGGCTTTACCTAACGCTATATATATTTATATATATATATGTATATCTTTTACATAGGGCTTATGCGACGCAGGCGCCTCGCACAGTTTTGTTGTTTGTGGAGAAATTTTTGCACGCGCCGCATATCCTTGAAATTGTCCTTCCATGCGATTTGTGCTTGTGTGAGTGTGTAAGTGAGCCTTCCTCCTTTTCGTGTGTAAATATCAGGGTCATGGTTATAAAATTAAACATTTCGTCGAGTCTCCAAAATAACTGGAGCTTAGGGGAGAATTTTTTGGGGCGCAAGCTTTCCTTTGTAGAGCTGCTCAACAAGAACTTCATTGATGATTCTGCTTCTTCTTCTTCTTCTTCTGCATCTGGCTTCCATAACTTCTTATCGCCAACTCTTCCCATACTCCCTTCGCCCCGCTTCACATTTTTGCTCCATTAACTTTTGCATTCATTTACTGGGGCTCTCACCCAAAAAGTAGGTGGGAAGGGGCAGGGAGGGAGTAGGTGCGAGGAGTAGGAGAGCGAGAGCGAGAGCGAGAGAGAGCTAGTTTAGCTGGCGAATTCAATGAATCAACATGGGCACGCATACAATTGCACAAAAATATCAATGAACTTTACACAAAACTTATGAGAGCTTTGCAGCATGGAGAAATAGTCGAAGAGCGAGAGAGCCGGAGCGATTAGAGTGGAGATTGGAGACACACCGGAGGGCAGGTGAGCAGTGTGCGATCCCAGTTGGGAAAGAATGTGCAGGCATTTGTGAATTTATGTGCACCATCAATGAAGGTTGATTGGGAATATAAAATAATATCATAAACTCACATATATTAACTGTTAAAGCTTCCGCAGTAAATTTAGGTTTTTAAGCCTAAATCTATTTTAAATAAGAATAATAATAATACTAATTTTTCCGTAATTTATTATTTTAAAAGTAATTACCACCTTCCCTACACTTCGTCAGGTGCAGTAAATTTCCCAAGGGGTTTTTCGTTGCCTGTGCTCACCTTTTTGGAGAGTTGGAGAGAAGCAACTACCTCGGGCTCTCATATGCCTAATCTCTCACTCTCTCTTTTTGTGTGGTGCTCTTGTGAGTGCAAGTGTGTGAATCCTGTTTCGAAATTCCTATAAAATTATTTTATCTGTTTAAATTTAAATTTTAAATTTAAATTTTTTAAAAACATTTTTAAAATTATCCATTCTTAAAAAAAAACATCTATGTTATTACTTCTGTCTAGCTCGAAAATTCCAAAACAGAGAGAGAGAGAGGGAGGGAGAGCATTAGCGTGCTCTTTGTTATTGTTCCTTAAGCTGAGAACAGCTACAGTGGCGGACTAAAGTATGAGGACAACCTCCTTTTTAGCATTTTACCTTCCTATATGTTATATGGGTAATGTAATAATGGTGTTTTGTTTTAAATTTTAGTAAAATACAACATACTAAATTTAATTTTGATTAAATATAAAGTTTTTAAGTTTAAAACAAAAATCTTATAAATGGCACTTACAACAGTAAACATATATGTATGTTATGGTCTTATAGTACTCTAGTACTCCTATTTATGAGAAAAGTAATAATGCTGTTTTGTTTTTAATGTTAGTATTGTACAACATTCTAAATTTAATTTTGATTCAATATAAAGTTTTTAAGCTTAAAACAAAAATCTTATGAGAGGCACTTACAACAGTAAACATATATGTATGTATTTCTTACTTATGGTCTTATACTACTTTATTACTCTTATTTTGTGAAAAGTAATAATGCTGTTTTGTTTTTAATGTAAGTATTGTACAACATTCTAAATTTAATTTTGATTCAATATAAAGTATTTAAGTTTAAAAAAATCTTATAAAAGGCACTTTCAACGGTAAACAAATATGTACATATGTATTTCTTTCATATGGTCTTATAATACTCTAATACTCCTTCATTAATGTATATTAAAGCCCTTAAATATATTATTTTTAAGTTATCAAAAAAACACACGAAAAAATGAGTTTTAGTTCATTTAGCAGCGCTAGAACCTCGCTGCCTGAAACATGTTGTTTCTTAGAACTTTTATGATATAATATTAATAAAAGAAAATGGTTAATATATATTGGGCAATTACTTTTGATTTTTAATCGTATCAGGCAAAACGTTATATGTATTTCGAATAATTTCCAATATAATTTATTTGGATGCGAAAACAAATGCAAATATTTTAGTCCGCCACTGTATGAGAGAAATCGTGAGAGCGATAAAACAACACGAAGTCTCGTCGGCTGCCGAAGCGCTCGGGTTCTGGTACCTTAACGTACAGTGCTCTATGTGTGTAAGGTACCCGACGAACGACCTGCCAAACGGCGGCCGTATAAAAGCCGTTAGCAGCTGAGAAACAAGTTTCAAAATTTTTTTCCCCGTCGTACGCGAGCGTCGTTTCGCGCTGTTTCCCGTTAAGAAATAATAAAAAAAAAGTCAACAACACAAAATATGGACATTTGATATATGGCCACGGAATTATAGCTAACCATATTGATCCATTTGTTTTTTGGGAAACATTCAACGATTTTCGGATGTTTTAATTATTGTGCGACAGGTTTCCACGTTTTTTTTCGATTCGATTCAGAACGGTGTTGTGTCGTTGTTGCTGTTGTTGTTTTAGTGAAGCGGTCGCCTCGCACACACCTACAAAAGCACTCGACGCACATACACCAACGCGATACATACATACACACGGTTGTGATTTGGCGCGCACTTGTGTGCGTGTGGTAGATACAAAACAACAAAATAAAAACGAAAAATCGGAGTGCAAAGAAACAGAAAACAGCAAACGAGAAAATCGGAAAAACAGTGCCCAGTGACCAGTTACAGTTTCCATCTATTGGAAATGAAAAACAAGAAAATTTCGTTTTGATTTCAAAGATTTTTTCGTGCGCGCATTAAAGTGTATGTTGTGCAGTAACAAACACAAATACCAACGCACAAACACACACACACAATCACACACGGTTGCGGAGCAGCAGCAAAAGCAAAGAAGAGAAGAAGAAGAAGCGAGAAGCAGAAGAAGAAAGATGATGTAAACTTTGTTGTAACCCAAAACAAAAACAAAAGGAAAGAAACAAATCAAAAAAATTGAAGAAGAGCAAAGAAGAAAACGAAAAAAAGTTCAACTCGGAAATATTGCAATATTCAAGAGATTTTTCTCCCCTCCGTAAGAAACGGAAAAAATCTCTCCTCTCACAATGCCGGAAACGGAGCAGGAAAGCTGTAACAAGGAGTGGCTGCAATCGCAGTTGCGTTCCCTGGACGCCAAGGATCTGATCCTGTTGGACTGCCGCGGCTCTCACGAGTACAGTGAATCGCATATTCGAGGAGCCGTCAATTTGTGCATTCCCAGCATCGTCCTGCGGCGCTTAGCGAACGGAAAGATCGATCTGGCCTCGACGATCAAGTCGCCGGAGCTGAAGGAGCGCATCCAGACGGGCTACAAGCTTTGCCTCTTCATCCTTTATAATGGCGAAGGTGTGCCGGGCCAGAATCCGGAAGTCGCTGGAGCCGGAGCCTTCGCCATGGCCATGGATTCCATCATCAGCATTTTGCATCGTCGCCTCAAGCAGGATGGCTGCCGAGTGGTTGCCCTACAAGGTGAGTCATCATCGAGATACTGGATTTTATGCTTTTTTATTATGTATCAGAATGTAGCGAGAAGATAGTGAAGAATGTTGGAAAAGAGTTCGGAAATACTGTTGCTATTTAGTTTTGGAATTATCTTTCACAATCCTTGAATACATCCTTTTTTTTAAAAAAGGTTTGTAAACATATTGGGACATTATTTCAATATATTAAAGTGAAATAATTACAAAGGCTTTTCTTCAAATTAATTTCTAAGTTAGTATCAATATTCAGAATATTCAAAATAAGTCATCCTTTTTTTGAAAAGGTTTGTAAACATATTGGGACATTATTTCAATTTATTAAAGTAAGATAATTACAAAGGCTTTTCTTCAAATTATTTTTTAAGTTAGTCTCAATATTCAGAATATTAAAAAAAAGACGAAATGGAAAGAGAATATTTTGAAATTTTGATATTTTTAGAAAAACAATAATTAAATCGATTATTTTCTTTACTACTATTCTAAATATTTATTCTAAAAATCGTTTCAATACTTTAGAATATTTTTCTTTAATTTTCCGACTCCTCATCTCACAATTTTTAAAAAATGTAAACTAAAATTCATAGAAAAAGTATTAATCCTTAAAATTCTCTAACTAGAAAAAAAATGCAATTCTAAATATTTATTCTAAAAATTCCTTTCAATGTTTTACAATACTTTTCTTGGATTTCTCTACTTTTCAATTTTAAAATTCTTAAATATTTAAACTGAAATTCATGGAAAAAAACTAAAACCCTTCGAATTCTCTGACTAGTAAATAAACTAAAAATGGAATTTCTTAACCCAGCATATCCCGTACCTGTCCCGATCTAAATGTATATTAAACAATTTGTTACACATACAGGTATCACTTTCTCAAAAATACCTGATACTCGCGACATCGCCGTCCCATAAATCAGCACCGAACATTCCATTCCTCTAGGCCTAAACAAAATCATAATTTATTTATACTCTGCCAATGTTGTTTTGCGGCATTTTTAGAAATGCGAGAATAAACCAAAACAAAACAAATGCGAAAGAATATTTTTAATACATGCAAAAGCACTGCCAGGCCATAAATAAACATTTGCGTAAAATTTATTTTGTTATTATTTCATTATTTCTAAGAGGAAAAAGAAATGCAATAAAGGTAATAATAAATAAATAAATGTTTAGCAATGAAAGATGTAATCCGTAATGGCTGATAACACTAGCGCCACATACGATTTATATATAGCTTTGTCTGATCTCTTTTTGACATTTTATAATAGAACTAATGGCGTCTGGGGGCTTTGAATAGATTTCACCCTGCTGAACTTGTTTTTGTTTGACACGATTTGCTTGGATTTTGATTGATGGAAATATTTATTCTAAGAAATTAATACAAATCGGTTTTAAGAAACTCAAATAATGTCTGATTTAAGAAATTCCCTTTATTATATTAATAGGAATTTGTTTCTTTTGGTGTTCTGATATAAACTTGTTGTTTAATCACAATTAATACTCAATTTTTCACGAATTGCTAAACAAACCATATCAACTATAAATGTATATATCCCATATTCCTTGAATTCCTTACTGTATGTACAATTTATTTATAGACTCAATGCCTTCGATATCAAATTAAAAAGCCATTTAAATACACATTATTTGGTGTGTTTCCAAACATCATTTTTGGTGATTTTTACAAAACGCGTTTCGTTGGAGGGGGGAAGATTAAGGAAGTCATAAATAAACATCAGTTCGAAGCTCTTTAAGGTCTTCCCACTATTGTTTAACTATGTATTATGTATATATGTATTTCCTTCGTTCCCATAGATTTGTGTCATTCACTAAAATGTCACACAATTGCTTTTCAGAGACTCCACGACTCCCATGACTCAAAGTCACATAAATTGCCATATACAATACGCATATACATATATGTATATGCTTATTTATGTGCATATTGCTTCTATATATATTTATACATAATTATCTGACTTGACTGACTGTGGCTTCATTTTTATTTTTATCACTTCAATTTCCGTTCCAACCCAGAAATGTGATTGTATTTTACCCCCCAAAAGAACCATCTTACGCACATTCTTTTGCTTTTCCATTCAAAGTTTATTTTATTTGTGCTAATATCACAAATTGACAATAGAGCGTCAATAAATGGACCGGACCGGCTTTTCAACCTCCCATCCTCCCTCTGTATATGTTATTTTTGTAAACTTTTGCTTCTTTGTTTACCGATTTTGTTTTGAAAGAAGAAAAAGAAATACAACTTAAAAACTACAACAAAAAATTAGCATAAAGGTGCTCTGCTTCCCAGCTATGACGTCAAAGCTATAGACACAGCAGCATAGAGGCGCATCCTGTGCTATATACATATATATCTCTATATCTACCTGTACCGCTTCAGGTAATTAGAAGTATTGGTCCCGTACAACAATTTTACGACCGGCAATACCAGGGAAATACCCATAAAAATTGGGAACCTCTTGACATTTGCCAGAAGAACAAAACGGAATGGAAATACAAAATACAAAAACTGAAAATGAAAATGATGCGAAGGTGGGTAGGTGAAGAAAGCGTGAAAATCTAGTGTCACCTTTAAAGGATTCCTCCCATTGTTGTTTTTCTTACTGAAGAGCCTCGGCTTTATCCCAAAGATTTTTCCTTAATGATCTCGAAATGGTAAATGAATTCCACGACCTCAAGTGAAAATATTTTGAATGGAAATATATTTCAGAGCAAATGACGAGTTTTATGGCAAGAAATCAATAAAAACCATTTTCAGAATTGCAAAATATTGTTGCTATAATTGTTTTCACGATTTTACTTTTCTGAAATGCAAGTTTTATTGCATTATTCCATAATGACTCATAAATTTGTGTACCCTTTTTCTTCTGTGGCATTTTTTAAAACTAAATAAAATCGATTTCACAATCCGAAATTGTGGTTTATCTTATCATTTGGGTTGGGTTTATTTGTATATAAATGCATAAGGGTAACAGTGACGTAGTATAAACGTTGTATCTGTAAAAGTATCTGTATCTGTAAATGTATCTCTATCTGTATATTTCTATAGCTACAGTTATGCAGGAAGTTTGGATTGCAATTTAAACGGAACTGTGGCACGCTTGAATATGTAGATACAAAATAGGGGAAAGGTAACCAGCACCGGAAATAAAAAAAAAAGATGCAAATAATGACACATTGTACAAATATTTAAGAAATATATGAATAAATATGTATATTATTCAGAATTATATTTAATTGTAACAGATTCTATATGCAGAATTATATTCTTTTCATGTTAATTAATTTTCATTACTATTTAGGATTATAATCAGCTTACAATATGTATAATCCTTTGCTAGAACTTGACCTGCAATCATTGAGTTATGATTTGTAATTAGTTTCTAAAGGGAACTCCCCCCTAGTATCCTTTCAGGACTATCCTAATGGACACTCTGTCTTAATCCCCTCTTTGCTTTCTGGCCAACAACCGTCGGTAATCATCTTAAGCTTCTGCGGGAACAAAGTTGGCCAAGAACTGTTTCACCAATCCCCCACTTTTTGCCTGCTAATTAACCTTGAAATTCAATCAAGTACGGGCAATTATGTGGTCTTTGTCAGGTCCTCGTAGTTGTTGTTATTGTCTCGTTTTTTCCAGGACAACGATGAAAACTTTATCAAGTCCCTGGGGGCATGAGAGAAGATAAAAAAAAATGCATTATGCATTTGCGGCGGACAGCCTTTTGACTTTCCAGATACCGGGGAATTTTAGCTTCAAGTGCAGCAATGTAAAATTCATTTTAATTAAATGTCACTTTGTATGCATTTCTCGGAATTAAAACAATTAAGATGAGGCCAACTGGGGCACACCAACTTAATAGGATAGAAAAAATGCCAAACTGCACATATTTGTACAGTGTAGGTCAAGAAAATAGCAAAGATACTATATGTACATTTTAATTTAAAGAAATTAAATAAAAAAATATTCTGAGCAAATACTACCTTTAATCAGTATTTTTTTCAGCTTGAGAATTATAGCAGCAAAACAATTGTTTTAAAACCTATTGCATGGACCACAGCTGTACATGTACATATCTATATATAACTTATGTACATATATGGGTTCATCGCTTCCAAAGTGCAGCTTATGTATCGTAAACTAAGCATTTCCGTTGACAGAATTTAATTCAATTAGATCTAGCTGAGTTTCAAACCGCCGCCGCCACAGACTCTCTCAATTTCTCTCTCTCTCTCAATCTCTTTCTCTCTGGATCTGATTGGAAAGATCAGAAATGCGCGTCGAGAGCGGCGGGAACTTGTCTGCTTTTATACATATATTTTTCCCGTCTTCTGTTTCTGTTTTATTTTGTGTGTGTGTTGTTTTTTTATGGCTTTGGCGGATACAAAGCTCCGCTCTGTTGGCATCCCGGGTCCCTTTTATAGAGATTGAACTCGGGCTGCTGCGCAAGCGCCATAAAAAACATCTTGCATTTCCACTGGCGGCTTTTCCCAACTGGCTTTCCTCCAACTTGCTCTCCCAATCGGAGAGTGGTTTGCCTCATTTGCTGTTTTTAACGAATTGGTTTTTGTTGCTTGTGTTATTTCTTTTTTGTTTTGTTTTTCTTCTCATGTCTAGTTTTTAGTGGTTTTAGCCACAGTTTTTGGCCTGGGACATGTAGAGTTAGGTTTTGATATTGTTTTTAAGCCCCAGCAGCGATTTACACAAATGGTTTCCACTGCATTTTCACTTTACCAATTCCAAAAAATTGTATTTACAAAATACAGCAGAATAACGAAAAGTGCAACTATCATATTTAGATAAAAATAAAGCAAAACAAATTAAAAATAAATTGTAATACTAAAATAAAATGCAAAATGATGCACTTACTATCTAAATTAATTTTTGTAGTTGTAGTTCTATTGTTTAAATATTTTACAAAGTTCACCTTATGGGAGTTTCACTGTAATGAAAGGAAAAAAACACGT